TTTCAACTGTGACCAAGTGGGTCACATGAAGCGGGACTGTCCTGCTGCAAAGAAGAGCAGTAAAGACGATGCAGTGTTTGCAGTTGGTGGGGAACGCTCGGCCGGGTGGCTGATTGATAGTGGTGCGACGTCGCACATGACCCCTCACCGGAACGACCTATTTGGGTACGAGGCACTAGACAGTGGCATCAACGTGACGATTGCAGATGGCAAGAAGCTGCGCGTCGCAGGAACTGGAACGGTCAAGTTGACTGGTTTGGACGGTAAACGCATCCGAATGGTGGACGTGCTACACATTCCGGGGCTCGATAGACGGTTATTGTCGGTCGGGAAGCTCGCGGAACGAGGCATGAGCGTGGAGTTCCAGCGTTCCAGTTGTCGAATTTGGGGACGGAACGCTGCGATAGCGTCAGGGAAGAAGGTCGGTAAGGCGTTCCTGCTGGACTGTCAGCAGGAGGAGGCACACTTCGTGCAATACGCCGGTCCTGACAGCGAGTGGGAGCTTTGGCACGCTCGCATGGGTCACCCCAACAAGGACGCGCTGACGAAGACTCAACGTTCCACAATTGGTATCCCACATGTGAAAAATGGGAACGAGACTTTGTGCGGTGGATGTATGAAGGGAAAGCAGACCGTGACGACGTTCCCGTCACGATCGCTAACGAGAACGACGCGTGTGTTGGAACTAGTACACACGGACGTAATGGGCTCAATGAGAACGATCTCAAAGGGTGGTGCCAAATATGTTCTGACGTTCGTAGACGACTACTTAAGGTTTGTCGTTGCGTACTTTATGAAGAGCAAGAGCGAGGTGGGCAGCAAACTGAAGGAGTTCAAGGCATTGTACGAAACCCAGTGGGGGGAACGTCTAAAATGTCTTCGTTCCGATAATGGAACGGAGTTCGTGAACAAGACAGTTTTGGAACTATGCAAACGGAACGGTATCGTGCATCAGCGTAGCGTTCCATACAGCCCTCAGCAGAATGGAGTGGCGGAACGCATGAACCGTACCATCATGGAGAAGGCAAGAAGCATGCTGCACTACAAGTCTATGTCGACGCAGTGGTGGGCGGAAGCGGTTAGTACTGCAGTGTATCTCATCAACCGTTCCACGAACACATCAAACTCTGATGTCACGCCGTACGAGCTGTCGTTCCAGGTGAAGCCACGGATGGAACACCTACGTGTTTTTGGGTCACAAGGGTACGCTCATGTGGACGACGTGATGAGAACGAAGCTGGAACCCAAGAGCTTCAAGTGCACGTTCCTCGGGTACGCTGAGAACGTGAAAGGATATCGTGTGTACGACATGGATGCGTCGAAGGTCAAGGTGACACGGTCGGTCAAGCTGGACGAGCGTGAGGTGGGCGGAATCTATGACACGCAGTCGCCAGCTTCAGGAACGGTCATCCATGTGACGAGGAACGATGATACGATCGTTCCAATATCGGGAGTGGAACGTAAGCCTGCTCAGGATGAACCGATGGAAGAAGCAGAGGAGCCTGCTCAAGACATTGAGATGGACGACCTTGAACCGGAACGGAACGCAGAAATACAGCAGCTACCCGCGCCGGAGGAGCCCAGGTTAAATGGGTTGGATTTGGCAACGTTCCATTCGCAGCCTCCATCGTTCCATGAGGACCGGATGATCTTCCATCCTGAAACGAAACGATCTACGCGCCCTCGTGAGCCATTACTTCTACTTGGGAATGGTGACGATGAAGATGTGGAGCGTGGAAGTGATGGACCGCCATCTCCTAAGCGTGCCAGAATCGACGAAGATGGTTTGGTCGCAGAGGCAGTGTTGGCGTACGCGGCCAGCATTGGTGGCGTTCCAGATACGCCTAACACGTACGCAGAAGCTATTGCCAGTAACGAAGCAGGAGAGTGGCGTCGTGCTATGCAGTCAGAGCTGAATTCGCATTCCCGGAACGGAACATGGACGCTCGTTCCACGTGGAACGACAACTCGTTCCATTGGATGTCGCTGGGTGTTCACGAAGAAGCGTGACGAGAACGGCCGGGTTATCCGTTACAAGGCACGCCTAGTGGCGCAGGGGTTCAAGCAGGAGTTTGGAATAGACTTCTTTGAGACGTACTCTCCAGTTGCGAATATGAACTCGATTCGAGTTGTACTCGCTGTTTGCGTTACGTGCGGCTACATTATGGAGCAACTGGATGCCGACACAGCATTCCTAAACAGTAATTTGAAGGATTTGGTCCACATGGACGTTCCATTTGGCCTCGAGAATGCTGAAGGCATGAAGTGCAAGCTGCTAAAGGCCATCTACGGCTTGAAGCAAGCTGCAAGTGCATGGAACAAGACTATTCATCGCGTGTTCCTGCAGAATGGTTTCAAATGTTGCGGAGCCGACCAGTGTGTCTACGTCAAGCGTTCCAAAAACGCATTCGTGTACGTATGTCTATATGTGGACGACATGATCATTGCGGCCAAGACGCGCGACGAAATTCGGGAGGTCAAAAACGCCCTGAAGAGCGCATTCAAGATGAAGGAGCTTGGCGAGGCCAAATTCATTTTGGGAATGGAGATTGACCACGATAGAGAATGTGGAACGTTGATGATCAAGCAAACTCGGTACATTGACGACATTGTGGAACGATTCAATCAACGGAACGCCAAGATGGTGGAGAACCCTTGTGCAGCAAACCTGAAGTTGTCCAAGATGATGTCGCCGACTACGGAAAAGGAACGTGCCGAAATGCGGTCACGACCGTATCGTTCCTTCATGGGGTGCCTCATGTACATCACAACCTGTACCTCGGCCGGCACATTGCTTACGTTGTCACGCAGCTGGCACGCTTTCTAGAGGATCCCTGGCACCGCAACACCGGAGGGCAGCGATTCGTGTTCTGCAGTATTTGAAGTCCCACTCGCCATCATGGTATCGTTTACAAAAGTGGAACGAGTGGATTTGGAACGCAAGCTGTCAAGGCAGAAGCGTTTACGGACGCAGACTGGGGAAGCAACATTGACGACAGACGTTCAGTGTCTGGCGTCATGATCATGATTGGGAACGCTCCGGTGGTGTTTAAGTCCAAGTACCAGAGGACGGTTGCACTTAGCTCAGCGGAAGCAGAGTACATGGCACTAAGCCTTTGTACTCAAGAGGTACTATGGACACGTGCCATGCTGAAGGACATGGGTCACGAGCAAGTGGGAGCGACGCAGGTCTGGGAAGACAATCAAGGTGCTATTGCACTTGCAAGCAACGCTGGATATCACGCGAGGACCAAGCACGTGGATATCCGTCACCACTTTATTCGAGAGAATGTGGAACGTTCCACAATCAAGGTGGCCTACATCGACACGAAGCAGCAGTTAGCTGACATGCTTACGAAAGCACTGGGAACGAAGTCGCTAGCGTTCCTTCGCGAAGCAAGTGGAATCAAGAAGAGGAACGACGTGCAGTAGCGGTGAGTGGGAGTGTTGATATGCACCGACTCTGCACGGTTCGGCTAACCGGCGTGACGTTCCAAACTGGACCGGTCCCAAACCGGTTAATCTGGTGGATGGCCAGGAGCACTAAAGTTTAGAGGACAGATTTAATTGACTTTAATCTACTCACTTCGGCATTTGCCTTTAACAGCAACAACAAGCTCATATTTTTTAATTAGCATTTGTTTATTAAATTAGCTTAGATATTTAAAAATATTAAAGCTAGATGAGATTTTATGATATTTTCCCACTTAAGTTGCCAGCTTACCCTGCTAAGGAACTCTTTCGGTCAGGTTCTAAAACAGCGGTACAGTGATGGCAGACTTCAAAACTGACGAGTATTTTATCTAGTATTTCACTGTCACAGACAAAGCCGATTGAGATGGAATACCGTAAACGGATTGAAGCCGACACAAAGAAATCAAGGCGATAACTTCGTCCACATCGTGCATCTCGTAAACCTGCAGCCTGTGACGCTAGATTAACGTGCTCAGCAGTGCCAAGTTGGCACAGTTGGTGTGGTAAGTTGGCACTGCCAGCACACCACACCAACCTTGCGCACTTGACTTTGGTATTGGCATCCCTTTCCCATTTGGCCATTACTCCGTCAATATCAGTGCGCACTGTGCCGTATTTAACCTAGCTTTTCATATGTTTACGTATAGAAGATGACTACAGTATGTTATTTTAGAATTAGTGCTGGTCTGGTCGATGTGAAATGGTGTTCGGGTCTGTCAATTCGGCCACGTACTTGCTCATTAAAAATAAGGAATTAATCCTGCTCAAGCTCACATTTATCCTAGACTATATTATCTAACCAATCAACAATCAGCATACACAAAATACTAGTTTTTGATTGGTGGCTCTTAACAGTCAGTAAATGATGAGCGTCCGTTTGCATAAGTTTTGCGGTAGGTCAATCAATGCGGTCTTGTGATTATCCTTCCAAACTGCTCCTGAGCACATATTGAATGCTCCACATTTTCATACAAGGAAGTTTATCGCTATTCTCGACAACGAAGGATTGAGGCCAAGCGCGCGAAGCGCGTAGAGTACCAAAAGCGCAGCGAGCATGCCTGCGGTTTGAAAACCGTGTGAGGAGCACGCGGATGCAAACCCAAGACCGATCATGGTCATCGCTATCAAGCGAGGCTCGCGTGCGGGGCTTTAAGGTTTAGAGCTCAGGGATAGGGGTAAGTGACTTCTCTTCCTCGTTGTTAATCTAGCGAAACATAACAGTGCCTCTTTTGAATCTTGCCAAAACTTAAACAATGTTTAACTTGCCTGCTACTACTTGTCCGAAGCTATTAAAAAATAGAATACGGGAGTAGGTATTAACTACTTGTCCCAAGCTATTTAAAAAAAAAGAATACGGGAGTAGGTATTTTGAGAAAGTAGCAATACGTATCATGTCTCACAAAATACTGTTCACATTCGTCCGTGTGCATTTAGGTTCGGATAAGGTTCAGATCTTGGCTGGCATAGCGAGCGTGCCTGTCGAGAGCTCATTTCTGAATTTACCTTGCCTGACGTCCCTCCAAACAATGCGATCGCTGCTGTTGGTCATCCTGTCGACTCTAGTCGTGCTTTCGGCAACGACCGGAGCGATCTCACTTAACACTCGGAAACTCGCAACGGTCACAGATTCGAAATACGTGTCGACGTTCCCGATTCGCTCGCTATTGGCTGGACATAACGTCATAAAAAAGAGAAGCTTACGGAGCGATGACAGCAACGCAATCATGGAAAAGCTCGGCAATGATGCTGAAGAAAGGGCCCTCACTGTTTCAAAGCTTCTGGACAAGCTAGAAAAGTTTATCTATGGATTTAGGGTCGGATTCTCTCCGAAGACTCAGTCACCGCGCAAGGAGGAGAAACTGTTTTCTGAGCTTGTCGAACTCGGTAAGACGCCGAAAAACATCAAATCCGAGAAGCTGGATAAGAAGGGCATTATTGCTGACAGGTTCATAGCTTGGTACGGAAAACTTATGGGGTGGACTAGGTGAGACGGTGTCGTTACCACAGCGTGCCCAACTTGATCAACGATGAAGTGACCATGATGAACTATTTACTTCATCCAAAAATTTGCAAATCGAAGGGCTGAGTAGGGCGGTCAGTAATTTAGCAGTATAATAAACTCCCTGGTATTGCTTTGAAATCCTCTGAGTAACGCAGCACCTTACATAAGTGGTAGAATACTTAGTAAACTGATAAATCGGATGGCAAGATCGATGTAGTGGCCAAAAGGACTACAGACAATCATCTTTAAAGTGGTATCACAAATAGTGATACCTTCTACTTCGTAGTAGGTAAGTAGGGCAAACTTCCTTTAACCTGTAGATCGTACTTAGGGATACGAAATCGACGACTATTAATATAAAGAGGAACTTAACTAAGCTTAAAGAAAATCTTCGTTTGGTGGGCTACCAGAAACGACTTTTGCTGCGACCCAATTCAGTGGGTTTGCCAGCGACTACGCTCTCTTCTCGCGTGTTTAATCGCTCTTCGATGGACATCAGGTCTTTTGTGTGCAAGTGCGACATCATCACTTGTAGAGAAAGACAGCATCATAATATTAATATGATGTTGTCCTCCTCTCAAGACGTTCACAACTACGATAGTCCTGAAGGCATGGAAAAATATGATATCATAATTATGGGTATTTTTTAACGGAATACAAGTATAATAGCCAATAAATGTTTAAAGGCGTATTGAAATTACAATTCTTGCCATTTCTGAAAAGAGAAATAAACCTAGATTTAGCAAACATAAAAAGCAACTCTAAAATATACTTCTCCGGTCCGGAGAAGTTAAGTTTTTTCTTTTAAAAACCTCGCATGTGTGGTTGGTCCATTCTGAGATGGGTACGATTGGTTAAAATAAGTTCAAATGAGGATTTGTCTGCACACGGATTGAGCGTTAATGACACGAAAACGGATTCAAATGCTTTTAGTGGTATACCTCTTGATTAAGCTCCGTTTGCGCTTTTTTTCTAGTATAATTTTAAATTTTAATTCTGATTATTTTTTACGTTAAAGCGAAACAAATCTTCACCCCTCCATAAAGTGATAGTTCAAATGGTCAGGTATTGCCAAAATTGGCGGGATATTTGCTCATAAAAAATCGTGCTGACGCTACGTAAGTAGAGCTTTCAAACTAGCTCAACCACGCTTCCGTTGGATCCGTACGACCGAAGTTATCGCCGATTTAAAGAACTGTTAATCATTTTTCTGACGAGACAAGTAGCTATTGCAATGATAGCATGTGTTTTTGTACGGTATTAGCTATTATCGAAAGTAAATCTTATAATCTCCATTATTGATCGACCTTTTCAGCAGTATAATAACACAAATGTTTTTTTTCAGGCAACTGTTTGCAAACTGGTGCGATTAATTCAAATCCCAGAGCTCCACACTTCATGTAGGGACTTACTGCACTCTCACGCTATATAGCTTTAAAACCGTGACATCATAGCCCATAAAGACAATTCTATCAAATAGGTACTGCTGTACATGTAGTAGCCATCAAGGCGATGATGTCCTTGTAATGGTACAGTTTTAGAAAGTGATTTCTCCAGGTAGTGGTAATAAATGGCTTCCCGGTGGTACAGCTACAAAGAGGGGTGTCTGTATATTCTACTACTACAGTATACCATACTACCATAACATAAAATCTTCGACCTCCGACAATCTCCGACCTGTGCCAAAAGGGTGGCACATCTAAGTCAGTAACTACTTTTCTTTTTTTAGTTGTGGGCCACATCGAAAATGTATTCACAAAAAAGGAGTCTGAGGTGGAGGCGGTGGCAGGGCGGCGGGAGGGTGGTGCACAGAAGGCGGTGCACAGAAGGTATTGGAACTCCGTTCCGATAAGCAACACTTCGGACTCGTGGAAAAATATGAAGCCTGAATTGTTTTAAGTGCTAGTACCAACACTCACGGGTTCAACCTCGTTCCCGTACAATGACCTGACCCAACTGATTCTCATCTTGTATATCAATGGCCCATTGTGCCTGGTTTCCAATATGAATTCCAACACGCCCCCCTCGAAGTGTAAGCTCCACTACTTAGCGTCCTTCACGCCGGCCAGCTCCAACATCGCCTTCAGGCGTTTTCTTGTCGAGCGGCTTGGTGAACGTGTCAGCCAGATTCACATCACCTTTTCACCTTGTGCAGCTCGATCGTTCTCTTTCTGCATCTGATCCCGCACATAGTGTCACCGGAGTTCAATATGTCGTGTGCGTCTGCTGTAGGTAGAAGTTGTCGCCATAACATGAGCTGCTTGATTGTCAATTCCGATTCGCAGCTTGACCTCGTACTCTGGTAAAATTCCTTGTAGGATCTACAGCTTCCATCGTTGCTTCGCACGCTGCCACATACTTCGCTTCTGCGGTCGATAGTGCAATAATCGACTGTCGTCTCAACATCGAGGCAATAGCTCCCCCAGACAGCGTGATCACGAAACCCGTCTTCCGCTGATCTGGGTCGCTTGCCCAGTCGCTGTCGCAATACCCCTAGCGTATAACCTCCTTTGTTTTTCCTTGAGTTCTTGTGTTTGTGAAATCATAGTCAAGCGTTTCTGTCACGAACCGCAGTACTCTTTTTAAACTTCCAATATGTTTCACCGAAGGTTTGGACACAAATTGGCTAAGCTGACCTACCAAAAAGGCCAATCAGGTCTCGTGCTCGTGGCAAGATACATCAGCATTTCAATAGCCTCACGGTAGGGGAAGCTCGTGACAACGGTCTCCCCCTCACTAATTTGTGCCAATTGGAGGTTCACCTCCATTGGATTCCCAACGGCATGGGCATTTTGATACCCAAATTTGCTCAGAATCTCACGCGCATACTTCCCTTGGTGGGTTGTGACTCTCTCAGGCGTCTGCTTCACCTTGACACCCAGGAACTCGCTTAGCAGAAGTTAGTCTTTGATGTTGTATGCCTCATTCAGCTCTTCGAGCAAGTCCTTCTTGCTCTGCTTATCGTTCGTCGCCACTAGTATATCGCCGACGTACACCAGCACGTAAATTATCGTTCTCCCGTCAAAACGGTAGTACAAACATGGTTCTGTCAGCGACGGCATCTATCCGTGCTTAATGAACCAATTGTTCAGCTCCAAATTCCACTCACGGCCCGACTGATGCAAGCCATACAATGCTTTTAACACGACGTACACGTGTCATTTGACCTTGCATGGATATCCATCGATGAATCTCAAATACTGTTGAATCCCTAGCCAGGCGTTCAAGTACGCGGTATTGATATCACCGCCATACAACAGTAACCCAATCTCTGCTGCTAACGCTAACAACAGTCTGAACAACGACATCCTTGCCACAGGCGCGAATGTCTCTTTGAAGTCAGTTCCATGTCTCTGATAGTTGCCTAGTGCCCCAACGCGGGATTTGAAACGAATCACATACCCTTGGAGATCTGACTTGATGTCATACACCCACATCGTGCTTACAGGTGCTGATTCTTTTGGCATTTCATTCGCAGCAATCTCAGCAATCACCCCTTTCGCCGTTAGTGCTGCTAGTTATTTCATCTCAGCCATCAGGAAGAAGTTACACCACTTTGACCGCAGCATCTGGCGACGATTGCGTGAAAATTTGGTCTCGCTCGCACGAATGGGTCTTCCATTCGTGTCAGGTACTCGTGAGGAATTCATCGTCCCATTCACAACGTAGTCATCGAGATATGCAGGATGTTAGCGCTCGCGAACCTCTCGAAGTCCAGTCCGAGTCTTCTTCACGTCTTTCTTGTATGCTTTCTGTTCAGCACGCTCCTCCTCCGAAGGAGTCTCATCGCGGTGTGTGCGCTTGCCAGTTTGGCTAAGTTCTACCGGCAAAACAGAACTTGCATCCACTACCTCCCTGTCTGTCTTAGTTTCAGGCAGTGCCTCCTCACCAGTATCGTTTTCCAGTTCTGCATCTTTGCCGCCCCGGTCTTCAGCAAAGACACTTGCTACTAAGGTCTCGTCATTACCATATTGCTCTTCGTGTTCCTTCAGCTCATGGTCAACTGCGTCAAATCCGACTACAGACACTATTTCGACATCCGATATGTCGACACTCTCGAACGGTTGCTCTTGCCCTTACCAATGTCAGTAACATCATTTTCGTCATTTTCAGCCAACTTACTCGGCTGTTCGCCATCATCTTGTGCGCTTCCGACAACAGCATCGCCGTACTCATCGACCTCAGCCTCGACGACTTCATCATCAAGTTGAACAGTCTCTTCATCCACAGCATAGCCGCCACCGAGCCCACCAATGACTTCACCATCGGCATGATGTACTTGTACCTGCAGAGATTGGCACTCTTCGCGTCCATGATCTGTCTGGACGTCAGTACGCTCGCCTATCTCGAGCTCAGAAGACGGTACGTCACTCAGCTCGCTCCGCTCAGTCTGGTCCTCGTCTTCCCCGTGGGTAAACTGAAGAGAAGATAGATCATCATCTTCTACTTCAGTTTCGTATTGATCTCGATACATTACATCTTCCGCAACACGTTGGTCAGGCACGAACTTCACTGTGTGGCGTACACCTTACATCCGAAAACATCTTCAGCGTACCCCAGTGCTTTTGCATGGTCACTCAGTTTTCTGCGTCCAGGTGTCACTGGTATACACATAAGCCTGCCTTTGAACTTCTGACGTGATGTACGTCTAGCTTGGCGCCAAACAACATCTCATAAGGAATTCCGCCAGATCCCTTATTGAACACGCGATTTGTCACGTAAACCGCGTTTCTCATTGCTTCCGGCCACAGGCTCCTTGGCAACCCCGAGTGTGCCATCGTAGACCGCGTCATGTCTTCCAACGACTGGTGCGCGCGCTCGCACAGGCTGAGCTGCGAGCTCTTCGGCCCGACTTTCACATGCTCAATTTCCTTCGAGCAATACCACGCATCGATCTCGCCATTGAAGAATTCACGACCCTTTTCACTTAAGATCTGCAGTACCTTGTATGTCGTCCCATCGGCAGTCCGACCTGCCTGTCGTTCC